GGCACATAACAACAACAACAACATATATATACATAAAACAAACCAAACTCACAGCCATGGAGTTGATTCCAACTCAAAGCAACTCTCATTGGATTTCTAAGGCTATAAATCTTTGCTAAGCACCCTGCCTCATCTTTCTTCTGTGGAGCAGCTAGTAAGTTTGAACCAGGTACCTTTTGGTTAACAGCCAAATGCCTTAACCACCACACCACCAGAGAGCTCCTTTAAGAATAGAGTCTTCATAAATATGTTCACAAAAACAATATTTATAAGAATGTATTCTAAACAACAACAACAAAAAAACCAAACTCACTGCCTTGGAGTCAGATCCAACTCGTAGTGACCCCTCCTTCGGTTTCTGAGGTGGTATCACTATGGAAGTAGATTGCCCAGTTGTCTTTCTGAGGAGTGGCTGGTGAGTTTGAACCATCAGCCTTCTGGTTAGCAGTCAAATGCCTTAGGCACTATGCTACCAGAGCTCCCAAAAATGTATTCTAGAAGAACTAAATTAAATTAGAATTAGATTAAACTGACATTCCTTCAATACATGGGCCCGCTTCAGTGACAATCTTTCTCTTTATTCCATGGCAAAAGGAATCCTGGTGGCCCAGTGGGTAAAATGCTAAGTGGCCAACTGAAAGTTTTGGTGGTTCAAACCCAGCCTTTCTGTGGGAGAAAGATTTGGCAGTCTACCTCCATAAACAGTATAGACTTGGAAGCCCTATGAGGTAGTTGTACTCTGTCCTATATGGTCGCCATGGGTTGGAATCTAGGACTAGACATCAAAGGGTTTGGTTTTGGTTTTGCTTTTGGTTTTGGGTTTATTCCGTGGCAAACCATTCATCCCCTACTGGTGGTGTCTGGCGCCATCTAGTGGCATCAGTGAAGGTAGCACAGTAGAACTGGGCGTGAGGGAGATGGAGCCTCAGAAAGACGCAACCTCCTCAAAGTGGATCAGAACCACTCCCCCAGACCGCCTCAAGTGTGGGGATGCAATCAGAGATCTCGAATAATGCTTCCAGCTGTAGAAAAAGGTGCGCTGCTCCAAGGCCCGCAAGAGAAATGCTTAATTGTCTCTTGGAGCCCTGCCCCATACTCAATACTTCTTTCTGAGAAGCGGCTACAATCTTCCTGTTCACAATTAGGGCAGGTACTCAAAACATCTCCTCTCATAGCTTCTCCAGGATTCAGAAGATGGAGGTGGGGTGAAGGTCAGAATAACATGATTAAATGCCCCATCTGTGTGTCGTCAGGATTTAGCACAGGAAGATCTTCCTCTCTAACTCCTGGTACCCAAGTCTGAAGCTTGAAGTCAATAGATTCTCCCATCTCTTATTCTCACTTCTCTCTGAACTCCACATCAAACCAGCCACCAAGATCAGCTCCTGTTACCTCTGAAATATCTCTAAACCCTGCCCTTTCTCTCCTGCCGGGGCCATCTAGGCAAAATTTCCTTTCTCTCTCCCTCCAGTTTTCCACTAAAATCCACCTCCACACTCCTACTAGCCATCTTCCCAGACAGCACATTTGACTGGTTCATACCCCCATTCAAAGCTCTCCAATGGCTTCCCATTGCCAAAGGAGAAAGTCCCAGCCCTTGGCAGGGAGCACAGAGTCCTTTGTGGTCTGGCCCCTGCCCACCCTTTGCTGCCTCTCCCACCTTCTCCACTGGCTTCTCAGATCCAGGGCTGTCTGCAGTTCATGAGAGACACCTTGTGTGGCTTTGTCTAGGCTGGTTCCTCTGTGGAGAATGCTCTTCTCTTTCTTTTTTCTTCCTCTATTGTCTGGTGACTCTAACTCATCCTTCAAGATCAACTCTAAGGCAGCACCTTCCA